TAAAGCGTATATCGCCATGGAACGTACGTGTCGTGACCGACTCAGAGGGACTTCGTCGAGGAAAATCGGTAAAGAGGACCTCGAGAGCCTCGAAGCGAAGAATAGGAACACGCGTGTTTGCGAATGGCACGTATGACATTTGCCTTTTCATAACTTGGTGAAGCCAGACGATAACTAGTAGGTAACTGGTATCAATTTTCGTTGTACACCGACTATCCCGAAACTTTGTAAATTCTCGATAAAAGAAATTACATAAAAAAGTAAAAGGCAAGACTAATGGCTGATAAGACTAATAAGGCTAATTTAGCGATAACGATCAGAAGCTAATGGGGCAGAAAAAATAAAAAAAAAAAAAAAGAAGCATAGATAGTTCTGCGCCTTATCGCGATTTCGCAAGGTCTACTTTGAGTGAAATAATTGAAAATAACTATTCGAACAGAGCGGTTCGAATGCTGCTCTCTCGACCTGGAAAAGAGAAGGTGTTCTCTTTCAAGGTGGCTCAAGGAGTGTGAATCTACGGTGACATTTAGAATCGGCCAGCCGTCCCGAAGATTTGACTGGTGTGATGGGTTCGGCACGCGACAAAACGGGGTACGCGCCGCCGTATGACCATAAAATAAACGTTTGGGGTAGCGCAGGCGGAGGCCAAACCTGGCAGCGCATAAACACTTATATAACAGCAATTAAACTGCTTTTAAGGCCCATAAAACTGCAGTTTCAATAATCTCAGTGACAACACCAGGTTCTGACCTGGCTCCGACTTCACCCGGTCTCCGGAAGCGGGGGTTTCCCGTCCTTGAATGTAGCCACCTCCCAAGATTACCCTTAACGTCGATTACTTCTTTAACCTCTATCCTCGACAGAGTTCCTTATCGATGGCAATGGAGACGAAAATATATTTAAGAATCGAGTCACATCGATATTCGCATTTTCTTTTTCAACAAAAATATTTATTTTACTTTAAATATTTTCTCTTAACGTTTATTTTACCTTGAATTTTTAGCGATCTTGCCTGCCTGTTGGAAGATCCAACGGTCAGACGGAGATGGAATAGGTGTAAAATAGAGAGATGAGAGCGAGATGGAGAGAAAATGGAGGAAGCGAAGGCGGGTGGAAACGAGCAGAAGCCCAGGTAGAGGGAGCAGGAACGATGAAATGGGATAATACGGACGCTGCAGGACGCGGCAGCCATCATCGAATGCTAATGAGGGGTTGGCGGCTTTTGGGGCGGAAGATTCAGTCCATGCAGTGGCGCACTGTTGCCAGAGAAACGGTCTGATTATAAATTATACATTATCTCGTGCTAGACCGGTGTACACACCGAAATCCAAGTAGACATCCATAGGCTACCGCCGAGTCCCTCACATCAAAATGCACACCCGTTTACGGGCCAGGGATAGATTAAAGGCTCGTTTAACTGCGGTACTATGGGAAGGTGACTAAGAAAAATTGCGCTACCCTATCACGCCCTTGGCTGTTTGTCAAATGCATCACTCAGGATACAGGTATAATTGTCATCCAGTATATAGTTTGTTTCTTGCTACGTACGTAATAGATAACTTGTTACCTTTATAGCTGTTTTAACTTGTTATAAAATAACGTGAAATATTATTACAATGCTGTAATACTCTTCCTAAATTGTCTACCGTACCGTACTTTTTATTTTTATGATATGGAAACTAACATAAAAACGTTTATATTTCCAAAAGTGCGAGTCAACGTTTCGCAATGAGATAAAAAGAAAGAGGAGCGCAGGTTGTAATTTGAAAGATTTTACTATTGCTGTGCTCTTCCTCTGTTACGGTTACGGGGGTAAACGATTCTTAGAACGACACAACAGAACAGCGAGAGTTAATCAAAGGGTGGAGAAAACACGGAATGCTTGTCGAGCACGGTCCTGAGTAAGCTAACAAGAATGTTCGCTGGCGCACTGTTACCGGCAGATCGAACTGTTTATAAATTATACATTATCTCGTGATAGCTAAGCGTACACACAAAACCCAACTAGATGTTTATTGGTCAGTGAATCTTATCGCGAAAGCGTCAAACAATCGGCGCCGACGGAATTATGCAACCATCGCATGGATTTTCGACGTTTTCACGTTGCTTTTAACACTTCTAACGTTTCCATACGCGATTAACGAACGAAATTAACATCCACTTCCCGTTCAATATGACCGTCCGTAATCGTTAAAATAGTAGAGGTACAAGAGTGTGATTTTCCTCCGTGTGATGTTACATAAGTCATGGACTCGGTTGGCTTGAAATTTTGGTCGCTGTCCAGGACAGAGTACATACAAGAAAAAAAAAAAAAAATTCAATTTCGCAGAATATTCATGAAGTCATTAGCAGGTCGCCGATCCTTGGCCTCAAAATGCAGTACGTGATACTCACATATCACGAGTGAAAGATTAGCTATACACGTATCCTCGAGTTAATTTCGTATCACTGTAAAATGAACGCGCTTCTTTCCTAATTTTGTAACGCGAAACAGGTGCACGCCACGCATTATTCGTCTGCAACGCGCATTTCTCTTCTCGTGAAGAATGGGACGCGACGCTTCTCACGAAATGCCTGATCTCTTTCAATTTTATATTTCTGATATTTCGAGATGCGTCTCGAAGACATCAGAGACAGACAAAAGGGGAAACACGCGTTTACGTGGATACGTAATTTTTCCCTCGGATGGAATTCTAAGGTGAGACGCTGTGGCATTCTATCGGTGCGGACTTCGAAGTCCATCCAACCCGCCAATCCCAATTCTATACTGGAAAGCGTAGTACGTTCACGTACCGGCGATAGATTATGTCCATAGACACGGCGACGGATATTGCAGCCAGCGAAAGAAAAAGAACGACGCCGGCTTGAGTTGAATTCAAAGTGCTATTTTTATATTACTTTATGGCGAGCGCGACTGCGAGCATCGCGGGTTTTCAGAAGTCGAACGAATTTCGGGATGTCGTTCATTTTACTATCCCTCACGCCTTTTCGCAGCACAATCTTCGTTTCGCGCATATCTGATTTTGAGAACGAAAGAGAGAAGGAGACGCGACATAATTTAGCAAGGGATTTATCATCGTTGTTGCACAGCCCGTTAAATAAAGCGTCGTGGAACGTTAATAAAGGCGTTTCACCTAATTTTACAACGCAAACCGCTGAAATTGTCACGGCGGAAAGATGGCGGATATCTGTGGCTCGCAATTGTCGATGCAAAAGAGATAGGGGAGGAAGAAATATACAACGAATGGACGATGCATTATGCATCGCGTGTCCCTGAGCTAACGTTGATTCGCGTACATAACTTCAATTACAATTAGTCAAGCATCCTGGAGGTCTCTGTGCGACATTCCCACAGGTATTTCGGCTGACGCACCCCAACTTCCAAATGCATTAGCGTCACGTCTCCCTCGCGCTCTTCGCGCGCACAGACGTCTATCGAGGATGGTGCCAGAGAAGCTACGTATTATCTCCGACAACGGCAACCTAAAACCAGCTGACAGAATCACGTTTATAAAACACGAGGAGATTCGTCTGAGACACCGGACACGACCGGTGACTCGATTCAAGCTCGAGTCAAAGCGACAAAGCAAGAAAGTTGAAAGCCGCTGTGAAATGTCTGATATGTTGGTTGGAAAGTAATACGATTCTAATAATAATTTTTCAAAATAAAGAAAAAAGAAAAAAAAAACTGACACACAATGACGATTGACTTTCATCGAGGAAATTGTCTAAAAGAACAAATTCGCAGAGCACGATCAGCATAACGCGACGCACAAAGGCCAATAGCGTTTCGTTTGGCTGAATAAATTTGGATGTGATTTGCCAGCTAACTGTACTCATCGTACACAATCGACTTCCTGCCATAATAGCACCCGTACTCGTACTTGAAATTATGATCTACACAATGTAAATAAACCATCGCGATAAGTCCAATGGGTGAAGTTTTAATTTCACCTAATCGCTATTTACTACGTCATTGTGAGCCCGTAATAGGCTATATAAAACATAGTCACGGGTATTATTTGCGGCCAACATTATTACGGTGACGACAGGTGTAGTTGGCCATATACATGTCCTTCTTGCATGCACAACTAACATAAATGAATAGGGTACGAGTTGGTAGCACGTGCTGCCGGCATCAGAATTCGAGTAAACGACCTTTAAGCGGTGCCCTTGACTTTTCTTGACACACTTCGGCACCGCCACACAGACCGGCTGCGTTCTCCAAGGACATTTTTTTGTTTTACGTCGCAATGAATCCGCGAACAGCGCCATCTTATAAAAGCGACGACTCCGGGATCATCTTGGGGGAGGTCAAACGACAGAAACAAGCGTACGAATTAGTTTTAAAACTTCTTTCACGGATATATTGTTAGGGGGAAATTGTGAATAAAGTTTAACGACGCGCGGACCTCGTCATTTTATCGGTCAAATCTTTGTAGCTTTAAACTTTTAGTACGAAAGAGAATCGTTCGTTAATTATATGCGTGAAAATTGATGGATTTATTCAATCCAGTGTCTTGAACAGGATAAGGAAAAATTAAAATTATTCATGATCTGACTTTTATATGACTTTTATATCACGTTACTGATTAATTTACAATAATAATGTAACGATAGTGCATATTACGAAGCCGATTATGAAAATATGAAATTTAAATAGAAATCACCTAAAAATATCACGAAACCGTCCGAAAACACGATTTCTGCTTTGTGAACGAAGCCGGTTCTTACGTTCGAAAATATGGCTGCCATATGTGGGCACGCTTGGGAACAGATTACAGTTTCATTTTACCTCCTTAGGCTGTTACGAGCTAACTTTCGCCTGGAAATTCCACACGACATTGGAATTCTTCACAATCGTACAAAATGAAACTGAATGGTTTCCCATCGAAACGAAAATCTCGTCTTCAATGTCAACAACGCTCCGAATAAACAAAATCTCTAGCCAAAATGTTTCAGCGAAATAACTACGCTAATAATAATAAGAATATACTCACCGCACACGACTCTGTCGAACGGGCTCATCCAATCTGAAAGCAAAAATAGAAACGTCGCGATTAGTTAGAACGTTAATCGATCCCGATACGAAGATTATCGGGGGCTTCAACCAACCGGTGAAAAGCATGCACATTTCAGATAAATTATCCACGCAGCAGACAGATACTCGTGCATAGGAAGGAACATTCGTCGGAAAAAGAGAGGGAAAGAAGAACGGAGAAATTTATTCCAATGGATACGTAATTAGAAAATAGGAAATTCGCAGCAGCTCGACACGCAAAGCTCTTCGTGTTTAATTCTTCGTTCTCTAGAAAACAGGATTGAAAGTACGATCGTTTCAGCGTACCGGCCGCTTAATCCCATTTTCACTTTATCTACACCGTCGATTAAGGCGGAGTATATCACTGGATTAGCCAAAACGTTGATTTTTGTATCCGCTCCGCAACAATGATCACATCGCACGGTCCGATCAAAACATGCCTTCAAAAATTTCAGTTCGGTACGTAGCAATATCTTGCAACACGCCATTCCTCGCGAGTGAAGTACAACGTTTCCAATTAAGCGTCGACCGGTCGCGGACGCTAACCGTTTCCCAGCATGGAATTTATCTCAATAAATCTCTCGACTGCGTTACATTCGAACGACTACCGCGAGAGACGACGTTTCCTTCGTTCTCGGCTCGTAAAGTTATTCTTACGCACTCGTAAATCAGATAAGGACTTTATTGAATCACGAATAGACAGACACTACTTGCGAACGTTGCCCGATAAGGCTGCTGCGCCACGAAGGATGAAAAAGGAAGACCGTTCTCCGTGACATATTAATAATTAAATATATGTATAAGGAATTAGGCAAAATGTATAATAAATATATTCAGCTGTTTATCAAAAACATGTCTTATTGAAAATAATTTTATGTCAATCGGTGATAATGAATAATTTGATGGATGCAGCATAACTGTACAAAGGTAGTATTTCAATTGACTTTTAAGTGAAATCTGGAATGAAAGGATTAATGAACTGTATACTGTCTCATATATAAATTATTAATTTAAAATTTTAATAAAGGTGGGGAAATTTTAATAAAAATTTTTTTATGGAACGATAAGACCATATAGAATTTTATATTAATTTAATTTTGTACTTGATATGAAATTTAAATTGATATTTGACTGGGAGAATTATTAAATTTAATAAATTTTAATTTTGAAAAACTTTAACTTCCCCTTTCTTTTTCTCTATTATTTATGCTTAATATCTATTACTTATGGCAAATATGTGCCGAAGAAGTGCGCAATAAAAACCGACGACGTTATAAATTACATTCACGAAACACGTGTCGAGAAAAATCGAACGCTGTTTATTCCGTTATGATTTACGTATTGATTTGACGCTACCGGCTTTATTGTTTCAGGGGTGCAATCAGGCTGAAAAAGCATTAAATTAGGCATACTTTGAAATTTGGGAGGGGGAGAGAGAATATGGCGAATATAGTTTCCATTAGTCGAATTCTTTTCCCTTTTGCGAGTTTCCAATACCGCAAGCAAAGATTTCTCTCTTCGGAAATGCACATAGATTCACAGACAAATACTTGTTGAAAAACATGTAGTTGAAAGATACTGATTGAAATATACCGACATCGAGACTGTTTAGAATGTGATTTACAGTAAACGTTAGCACGTTAGAATGAACATTATTTGCAGACGTAACGAAAAACTTTTTTCTCGGCACTCCTTTCATCGATGTGAAAATTGCGCCAAAATATAGTGATGGATATAACACGCTGTAGAGAAAATGTTGCACAATATAAAGCGAAATGAGCTTTGGAAGGTAATTCGTGCAAATTTGATTCAACAAGGCGTGCGTGTTGTAACGCACTCTATCAAATTTCGTCGCTGTTGTAATTAAAAATTCCACCGCTAGATGTTTATGCCAAACTGGATGAATTCTATGCGCCATCGAAGATACAACGCAATATTTTAAAGCAATCTTTCGTATGTAAAGCGTAAACAAGCCATTCGCTTAGTGAAAGAGTGAATTATATTGATAGTTATTCGTACAAAATTATCGTCGATCATGTACCGTTGTTGTCAATTTAAATCGCACGTTAAAATTTTTGTAATTCGCAGTTCGGACGATGTCGACTGACGCGGACGACGTCGTACAATCTTTCAAGAAAACGGTGAGCCTCGAATATATACATGCACGAAACAAGGGTGCGTGCCTGTGCTGCGAAAATCAATTATTTCGCATTGGTTTATTTTCGTTCAGCGACGGAACGGAACCTTGAACAAGCCCCCGGCGATCTTTTTTCGTTACATTTTTGTTCGAAAACGTGCATCACCTTGCACGCGATATATTCGAAACGGCCAGACGACGACGTGAACACGAAAAACAATGCGGACCGGTGAATTGAGTCGCCTTTAAAAATACACGAATGCTTTTCATGGGCGTCGCCGGGAGAACGCGGCGTCGACGACAGGCTCGCTTGTCCACCACAGATACACGCGGTAAAAGTGCCGTCGGCACTTTGTTCGTGCTAATATTGCCTCGAACAAAGGCGCTTATACAAGCTGTACTCGGAATGCATTATACGGAACACGGTGGAATAACATGGGACCTCGAGGAGACGGTCAAAGATTTCAGATCTACGACGATCACGTCTCGCATACGCTATTGTTTCTCTAAATTGAAAATCGTCGAGATTCTCGAGGACAGCTACGTACTATCTTTTAACTATTATTATTCGTTAACAGCAATAGCAGCCGAAGAGACAATGAGGCAGACAAAATGAAATTCGACGTAAATTAATGCACGCGTCAAAGAATCAGTTTATGTTCGTGTAACGTTCGAGAAACGAACATGGCGGCGGTAATTCCGAGATACGAAGTCGAACGACGATTATTTGAAGAGAACCGATATAAGCGACATATCTGGCCAAGAGTAATTACCAACACAAATGGTAAGTGCACGTTATACGGAATTACTATCGGTTCATTATTAATATCGACGCTATTAAACATAGAATAGCCCATTAATTCTGTATCTGCCATGATTTTCCCGAATAATAATGAATAATAATGGTAAGATAAATAGGGTCGTTAATATTAACCGGTCAGATACAAATTATGTTTCTACATTGTCAATAATATATTGGTTTAATGGTGCAAAAATTGAGAGCGAATTTCCATAAACTCAAAAACAAGTATGTAGATTAATATTAATGTAGATGGGCTATAATAGAAAGTTAGTGTCATATGGCTACAATATTTTTATTCCACCTCAGGTCACAAATGATAGTTCGAATTTGCTTCTACCGCGTTTGACGGAACATTTGAGGCATAACAATGTTCCAACAGCTATTTCATAGTGCCCCCTGCAGAATGAATAACTATAAACACGCGTACCATAGGTCAGTTTCCATCTATCGTTTGAAAGTTGAAGGTTCGTTCATTTTCGATCATTTCTATATTTTTATGAACTTAACAACAAGCTAACTTTGCCAAGCAGATAAAAACAGACGAAAAGAGAGAAAAAAATTCATAATCCTGCAGAAAAATAAGAATTATGTTTTATCATTTAATTTTCACAATTTCCGTGGATAAAACGCTAGTAGCAGTTTATACGAAATGATAAATTCAAATTCGAATCGTACGTAATTTATTGCTTCGCTAATTTATTACTACGGAACATGGTCGACATTTTTACTTGCAAATTCGTGTCACTTGCCGTGACTAGCAATAACTACACGTATAAATAAAGCAGCGAATTCATTATTTTTTCAACGATCATTCTACTTGTATTTTCATCCAACGGTACAGACACGACTGTATCGTTATCTCTAACGCATTATTAAGAACAACATCCGACGCTTGGTCATTAATACGTGCAAGATAAGTCCATGAAAGATCATGCTGAAATAAGCGCCACGATTATCGTTTAATTCTATTATTGATTCAACTCGTTTCGACAATTTAACGCCATATTAACTGTCGGTGATTAAACTCGAATCGGCGAATCTATCTTGCTTATCAGCGGTTTACATCTTTTATTTGGAAAGAGGAGGCGTTTGCGAAACGTTTATCAGACGCTATATGCGGTATACAACACGAATGATATACAATTCTACATTGTACATTGTACGCGACTGTCCATCGTGAAACGATGAATAGTCAAATCTCTACTAGAACTTTATTTCGTTTAGACAACCGATTCGAGTACGAGTGAATTACACAAGTATGTCCTGCAATCATGCTAGATGAAGCAGCATCGAAGAGAAGTTGTTACGTAGGAATAGAAAAGAAGAAGAGGAAAGAACAGTTGACAACAAAGTGACTTACCGGTGATGGACATCCATGGATATCGTGGTATGTCCGAGATGCTGGGTTGTCCGGTGGTAGGTTGTTGGCAGGATGTCAGAGGATCAACGACAGCCGATGCAGCGGCGGCCTGATGATAGAACTGTGCAGCAGCAGCCATGGAGGCGGACGCTGCGGAAACAGCCGAGGAGGCTGACGCGGTAGCGCCGCTCTGATGATGATGGCTGAGAGTGTAATTTACCATCGGATCGGCGGACGTTGGTGCTACGTTTCCGGTAAGGCTGGCGGTATAACGGCAAGATTTGTCACCGGCGGTAGCAGCGTCGACGGCTGCGGCCGCTGCCAACGCAGCGCTCGAGGCCGCGGTCGAGCCGAAGCCTGGCACCATGCTGGATGTAGCACCGAAGGCTGCTGCCGCGACCGCTTGTTGTTGTTGATGATGATGATGCGCCGCTGCCGCCGACACGTACGGATACATGCTGGAAGTGGTGCGTGCTGCCGGTGACGTAGAGGCTGAACTTCCCGAGTGCTGGGGGCTGGAGCCCGTCGGGCTAGGAGAATTGTGCTGTTGCGCGTAATTCACTGCCGCGGCCGCGACTGCAGCCGCGGATAAACTCGATTCTAGACTTGCGGTGGCCGGGCTTGTGGTGCAAGCCTGGATTGTGCCGGGATTTGCGCTTGAGAACAACTGTTGATGATGGAACTGTTGGTGATACTTAGGTAGCATACTATCGATTATGAATTTCGAACTCATATCGGCAGTAGCCGATACCGATTTCGGACTCGGTGCCGAGGACACGCCCGGGCTTCTCCTCCTCCGGCTGTCTTTCTACTTGCCCTTTGTTTATCCGTTTATACGTATACCTTTGACCCCCACTTTGACCAACCACTTACGCAACTTTACACATTATCACAGTAACGATAGCAGCGGACAAGGATGGATATTGCTGGTAGACGGATGATCACGATTACCGGACAGCTCGCGACGGCAGACAACGGGCACACCAGAACGTTTCCAGATCATTCGTTTTCTTGCGTGGTGGGTGTCCTTCCGGATGACCGTGCCACGTCGATCACGCACCGAGCCGAAGAGGATCCACCGTCCAGGTATGGATTTTCAGGTCGACGTTACGATTCCTTTATGGTAATTACGATTCCTTCCACATCGGGGCGACGAGCGACAATAAAGCAACGGGTCTTTCGTTGACCGGGCCCTCCCAGCTGATCCAACACGGCGGTCCCAGTGAGGAAATTGGGCTGCGACAGTGTTCGAGGCGACGGCACGAGGAGAGAGAAGAGAAGAGCGTGGCCCCTGTCAGGTGTTAGAAGCCGTTTCTTGCGTACTTCTCGGATAGTCGACGAATCCTTTATGGGCCATGCATGAAGGTACTATAGCCCCCTATCCCGAACGCCGCGTACTACAACCCACGGCCAGCTAAATGTAACCCCTTACAATAATGGCGCCGCTTGTCTCTCCGTTCTGTTCCCCCCTCTCTTCTGCGATCCTCCAGCGCGCTGAGGTACCAGCTGGTAAACAGAGCCGACCAATCGCACCGCTCCCTTATCCGAAGTGGACCAATCGTGGCCCGCCTAGGCGCGCCAAGATGAATGGCTCTCTCTCTCCACACTGACTCGCCTCTCTCTGATCTTCGCTCCTGCCTATGTTTCCAACTCTCTCTGCATTTCTTTTCAACCGCGGCCACCTCTCGCTCGCTCTTGCCTCGCTTCACCACGCTCTCGCGCTTCGTCCATACCACACGCTTCTCTCCGCTTTGCTCTTTTCGTTTCTCTCTGCCCGACACCGCTCTACCCTCTTCACGGCGTTCTCTTTTGCCAGTGCAGTCCTGTTCACCACGTTGCCTTATACCCTTACACTGTTGTGCAGCCTTCGCTCGTCTCGCACGATATACTTTCTCTTTCTCTTTTCTCCTTGCTTTGTCTCTCCTTCTCCCCCTCTCTCTCTCTCTCTCTCTCTCTCTCTCTCTGTTTCTTTCTGTTTTTTTCTAATCTCTGCTCTTCTCCTTCTGCACACTTTATTCGCTCGTTTTCTTCTTTGCTGCTCCTTCTTTTTCGTGCTTTGCTTTCTAGCCAGCCAGAGCAGTTTCTCTGAAGATTAGTCTCGCACGCGTTTATCCATTTTTTCTATCGTCCGAATCTCCTTCGTTTTTACACATCTCCTATTTCGTCTCTTGCCTTCACGGTCAGCCCGAAAAACACGCCACCCACAATTTCTTTAGTTTGCAATTTCGTATCGATCGTTCTAATCGTATCCGTAACTTTCGGTTTAGTCGGCTTGGGATTACGTTCGTCGGACGGCCTCCGATTCTCCACCTCGATCTCCACAAATTTTTGATCCCCTCTTATCTATCTCCGTTTATCGTCTTGTCATCTTTGTCTCGAATCGAAGACTTTATCTAACTTGTACCCTTCGAGCAATCACCACACCAGCTTCCTCGTTCTCTTGGAACACGTCTCAAGCTCGTTTCGTGCCCGATTCAACGCTCCTTTCGTTCCATCGAATCCATATGTTCTTTTTTTTTTTTTTTCTTTTTCCTTTCACGAAAGAGAAGATACACAGACTCCTCGAATCGATCAATCGACAAAGCGTAGCGCAACGACGTTCACGATCGGTCTCGTAGACACGGTTCTCCGCGCGCGCATCTCGGTTTCTTCTCGGAATGATTCCGATCCAGATGGCGCTCGATCCCTTTCCGATTTAGCCGGGACCCGCGGTTCCTCTCCTCTTCCCTGCGCCCCCGAGGAATGTGCAAGTCGTCTGCTCGACTCTTCGAAACCACTGAACTCGTCCCGGCCGGGATAGCGGCGACATTCCAGCGTTCTCAGAGTGGTGGCGAAGCGTTGGGGCAAGAAGCGGCTCACGGACCCGGGGGAAGGGGTTACTAGTGAGCCTAGTTGCAGCCAAGGGGGAGTCGAAGGAGGACTGCGCGGCCGAGGGTGGAAAGATAGACAAGGGGAGGGAAAAAGTTCTCGATCGCGAGGACAAGGGGCACCTATTCTTTACGTCTCTCGCGTTCGCGAAAGATCTCTCCTTAATTGATCGCCTTTCTTTTTCCATCTCTCTCTCCGTTTGCGGGACGAGCACCAGCTTCATTACGCTCGATGACTCGGTTTAAATATAACGCAACTTGTTTGTTTTCATGCTGAGACTCAATACTAAGGGGTATACGACTGGCTGGTCGTATTGTACGCGGTATACAACAGTTCCTTCGCCACTTCCAATGACGCAACGCGGACTTTACGAAAATTTCTTAACAACAGAATGGTCGATTTTTGATTAACTTTGCCTACGAGTTTTTGTTCATCGCCAATTATCAATTAATCAATAATAAAGAATAAAAATAGTAATCGTATCGGATTGATGAGGTCGATTACGAGCTGACATACTCACCTTGAAAGCTGTTATCCGTCCCTGAAACAAAACGTAAAGAAAAGTGTTATTAGAGAATCGGTTTCGAATAATGTCAATTTTGCAAACAGATAGATATTTGGTACGAGTATCTGGTTTACTCGCCTTCGAAATACAATCTACCGAATTCGTTCGAATCATTTGATTTATTTCGTCGATTAAGATCCACGGGAACCATTAATTTCGAATCGCTTGAATAGAAACGCTTGAAAAATTAGGAAAGGAGGACCAGAGATGAACAGGCGTGGCCTCTCAGGTATCTTCTCAGGCCATGCGTCAGAATATGGAAGGCATGTAGTGCCTTCGAAGCTAATCTATGGAGATGAATGTTCCACCCCGAGACCAGAGTCCTCCACGCATCGAAACCGCTCGATCTTTTAAGACACCGCCTGTTCCGATGATATCCAACATGACAACTCCAAGTACAAAAGAAATACCCCAGCGTTCTTTATTGTTGAGATGGCTCGATAGATGGAACGATACAGAAAACGACCTAAACAACAACGGGTGGTTGTATCCTTTTTTTTTTATGCATGAGAAACATGTAAATTGGTTTAATCTGCTCCGACCACCGGAAAGAAATCCACGATAGGCAATACATCTCTTCGTTACGATTGATAAAAATTTTCTTTATAGAGTGATCAAGAATAATTTGTAATTCCCAACAGTGATGTTTTATTCAAATGATTGATGAAAACATTGATCAACGACGACCCAACCATCGCATCTCGTACATAAACAAATGATCAGATTCAAGACGAAGATTTCGCCAATGCAGTATCCAGTATTGGACGAACACTTGAGAAAGAAGATCGGTCTACTTATTTGAATGATTCGATCTGAGAAGACAGGATGCACAGTCGTGCATGACCGTGTACATACAAGGATCGTATTCCACGGCAGGAAGGTATACCTGTCTCAAGCACCACGGGGTGTAAATTGCGACCGTGGCCACCGACAGTCAGCTAGATATGGACAAAGACACGCAGAACCTTCGCATTGGTATGTATACCCACAAGAAAGATGCGCCATGGATAAAGAGATGGTCTGGTTCTTTGGAAACTTGGAACGTGTCATGGAATTTTCGAGCATTAGCCTTGAGATCGAGAGAAATTCCGAGAGAGGAGAAAACGCTGGTAACGAGTGGTAGAAAAACAAAGAGAAATTGGGCGGTGGTCCTTTGCTGACTAATCGTGTAGCTTGGGGTGAATCAGGGTGACGCCCTGGCGATCGGGACCAGAGGCACCTAGCGCGCCATCTTCGAGAAGAAAAAGAGAATTCCCGAACCGTGTGTCTGATCGTGTACCGGCATCCTCTCTTCGCCCGATCAACGGTCGTGAAAAATGTTCAAACCAGGTAGATGCAACTCTAGTAGACTGGCGGAAAAATAATGTTCAAAAACCGGATACGCTGGATTGTAATTTGAAACATTGCACGATGATGCTGCAACATGCAACAAGCTTGTTACTTGAGACACTGCTTAGATGGATTGTCGATAGTGAACGCTGTGTGAATAATATTTTGCAGCCGATGAATATTAATTTCTCGAAATTGGTAATCACACGGCATTTCCGAAATAACAATTAGCTTCTTTGATATTTAACTAGATAGAATCGCGATAATGGTGCATTTTACCAGAATCGAGTTTCTAAAATTTGTGAAACAAATTTTATTAACTGCGCGCTGTAAAATGTACTACAAATTACTTTGAATGTGTCTACTAATAAATTATGATACGCACTAGTAATAATAACAAAAGTGATAGTGTAATACACTTGATTAGTTGCATCAAATGATTTATTGAAATTTATGATTACTTAATGTTCAGTTGCTATGAATAACGACTACTATTGATAAATTAACGCCGGTTTTGACCTAATTGTTACGAGTCAATGAAACTGTCATATACAAACATGTTGGCATTATAATCTCGTTTTATTGAAATAGCATATTATACATACTATATTATACTATATTATACAATATATTAACGTAGCGTACTGGATATAATCATTATCTTCTATATATTTGTCAATTCTATTTTATCCATTATGCAAATGTCTCATGCGTAATGTCTCATTTTTTTTGTTCGATTTATCTAATCGTAACAGTTTACACACGACGTAATTGTCGTACATATGATACCTATGGTCAATTAAACATACAATTAAAAAGCAATGCGCGTAACGATATATTACACATCAAGGTCGCGGTCCGTTTTGCCCGTAACTGTTTTACCGACTCGCTTTGTCTACTGCGAAACTTATTTACCTAGCGAGCAGGAATTTGTCAGCTTTGCAGATATTTTATCTGCAATTTAGTCCCAAACTTCTTTTGCAATTTCAAATTTCTTTTAGTATTTCGTCTGATATCATGAAAATATATTCTCATTGCCGTCTATTGCATGAAACTTTTTGATAGATTACGCACTGTGTGAAAAATAAGTGGAAAGATTTTGCATTTCGTATGAAACTTGAAATGTTAGTCGTGTCTAAACTGCGCAGAAATTTTATCTTGGACATGCAAAATTCCATCGTAAATCCAAATCATATAAAATATTTAATATCTATCATCGTACATATCGTAGACTGCATCACTATTGAAAATGTGTCAACGTTACCAATTCCTGGCGCGATCCGAGACACGCTTAAAAAATTAACATCGAAAAGGGCACTTTTGTCGTTAACACGTTTTATGAGGGCGATCTACTTGGTCGCAGATGTGCAAAGAAATTCGACCTTCATCCGGAATCTCTCGTTTCGAGCGATAAAACGAAGCGGCGCAATCGAAGGGCGAGAAAAAGCGTAAGGATGAGGCGATGGAGAAAGATTGGCCCTAAAACGCCGACGAGGCACAGATAAGAGACGATCCTGTGACGTTTCGTCTGCTCGTATCTTGCAGATTACCAATTCCTCCGACTATGGGACCGCAGGAGGTGAGAAGTTTGCGTCCAGCATCCGTCGAGAACGCACGTGAAACAAGTGGCAGAAGTTATCTACGTGAGTAGCTGTTCTTCCTTCCTATTTAAGATGAATTTGATTATTTTTCTTGTTCCTCTAATTTCTCGTGTATTCTCCGAACAATTGTTAAGACTCCTAAACAATTAAGACTCATAGTCTTTAAATATACAGATGGTAATCACGCGTCCCGTGTATTCAACGATCGGTTTGCAAGTGTTTCCATACTTACACGGTGTTCTTGCAAGCCAAAGAAAAAAAGTAACGTAATTTGTTAAAGACGAGCTAAGAAAATCAAAGTCCTGAAAACATAGTTTGCGTTCTCGATGCATGGCTTGTCATTACGAACAATTTTATTAGCTCTTCCGAGAGAGTACAGTAATGCACGAATACGGTGATTATGGTGTACTCTGGCAATTGGTCTGTCAAGTCTTGGAACGTATAAACAACAACGATTATATAATTTTCCATGTTCTGTCAACAATTATCAAGACTCGGTTTGCTCGACAGTGGAAAAACAATGGTTCGGGTTGTATTGTTGTATAATAACCGTGAAATAAAAAGAAAAAAAGCAGATAAACTTTTCCTACCTAACA